AAATCCAGGAACCTGATTAAGGGATCCTCAATATCAACCCTAACACCTCCCCCAGAAGTATGAGTATGGAGTTGCTGGGCAGCAACATGGACAATATGCTAGCAACATCCTTACACCAAATGTAGGGACTCCAATCCAATAGAGGGCTAAAGAAGATATCTAAGTTGATGCATAGAAGCTGGCAGACCACACCTCTTCTTCTCAGCTTCCAAGTCTTGATTAATGCTGATATGTAAAGGAAGTGGCCAGATTTGAAAGAGGTTTGGAGTCTTTCTCATTTCTGCTATGCAAACAAGATGTTCCCATTCAGCTTTAATATGTATTTGCAATGATAGATTCTTATTAATCAACCTGGCATTCATTAACGGCACTTTCAGGCTCAAAGGCTCTGCAGAGCAATCACTAGTGTCATCACAGTTGAAAGGAAGGAGATTAGAAAATGAGATTAAAATCCATCCTCTGACTAGAGGATTATGGGAATTATCTGAAGGGTACCAAGTTGGGAAAGATTAGAATAGTATTAAACTAGATGAAATGATAATTTTTCTTGGTAGGGAGCAGCAGCACAAATTAATCCTTTTGTTTTAAGGTAGCTTAACAGCTGACAGGCATTTTATTGCACAACTGCTATACTCCATAATCATATTTCTGAATCATTAGATCTAGTAGAATACCAGCTGGAGACAATCATTTTAAGAGAACTGAAAATGATATGAAGGAGGATTCATTATTCTTACTCCACAGAGCCTGAGTTTGTCTTACTCCTCAGAGACTTGCTTTACCTTTTTAAAGCTGTCAATCTGAGTGATGGCCTGTTCTGGAAGACAGCTGATCTTCCCCGTCATCTTCTTCCTCTCCAAACAAGGTGCCAATTCAGTCAATGTGTAAGGAGAACAAGTAGCCTTCAGTTCTTGAAGTGATTCTGCATAAGATCAAACTGGGAAGCAGGTATCTAAACAGGACCCTGGAAGCATTTTAGGGTGCAAATTAGAAAGCAAATAGGGGAGACATTAATTTAATGCTATCAATTTGTTTTACAGTTGTAACTATGCACACCTACCTACCTACATACAAAGATGTCTCCAGGTAGAGTGTGTGGCAAAAAGTCAAGATGGCAGCAATACAACAGTGCAATCAAAGCCCACACCTTTTGTACATGTCAAGCTGAAACCCCACATGTAGAAAAGGGGCAGAGCTTTGAACATATGGTCACAGATACCATTTTGACTTTTTTGACACATACAGCTCCTGGATGACTTCACATGCATACTAGGAATGTGCAGTGCTTCAGATCCAAAGGAGAGAAGTTTCTTCCTGGGGGCAAGGACCCTGCACCTATCAGTTCTTTCTTAAAGATGTGTCTGTTCCTGGGCTTGTATAGTAGCTGTGCAAGCCCAGGAAAATGTTTTTGAGGTAAAGAGATGCCACTTTCAGCACGCTCTTTACTCAAATGGGTATTTTCCTGGAAGTATGCAGTTGTGATGCAAGCTCAAGGATAGACACATCTTCTTTCAGGAAACTCAGACAAGAATGCTTGGTGTGCCCACAACCTCTCCAAAGCCCCTTTACTGCATTGGGTGCAAAGTGCAGTAAATCCATAATACATATCCATCATGATATTCCCTTTCGAGGTACACACATTTTGGCCAGTATGTCACAAATATAATCAAAGCCCAGTTTTATCCTAAGTTTGCCCCCACTGTTTTATTCACACTAAGATCTCTAATCTAGAGACGACCTTGAAAGTTAACACACAATTGGCCACAACCCATCAGTTTGCAGGAACAGGCAGCATTCTGGCCTACACTGAAGATGCCTATAAAAATACTTGTGTAAATAAGCTATTTACATCCAAAACCAAAAGTCTAATTCAAAACAAATTAAAGCCGTGTATCGATACTTGTTCTCCTGAAGTTCTCACTAATGCATGAACAGAGGTGCAAGAATGAAGCAGTAAACTATAGAGGTGTTTCCTGGCTGCTCAGCCAGATATACACTGTTGAGCCGTGAGCAGAAAACATTATATACTGAATGTTTCCTACCTCCAGTGGAGGATTGTTTTAATGATGTGCAGTTAAGAATTTATTTAAATTGTCTATACAGTACCCTGCTGTCCTCTGTTCTTTGAAAACATCAGTCCTTTAAAAACAGGGAGCAAACTAATTCATGGCCATTCCCTATTGGCTTCAATTGAGTGTCTCACTGAATTTAGGGCTCATAAAACACTTGAGCAGTTTGTGAACTGGAGGATCATCAAAGTAAATGTTGCATATTATTTAATGAAGAGAAGTTCACTTGAGAACCCAGTTAGGGAAATTAACGATCCACTATATCAGTACCTGCAGTGGTACACTTCCAAATGCAGCCATACATCAAGTGGGTAACAAGAAGCCTCACCCAGCCAGAATGCATATTCTAGAAGATTTTCCTTGATGAAAGCTCTTCCAGAAAGACATCAGTTGCCTTCTGGTTGGGAGCTAGAGCAGGCAGGGCAAATAGAAATCGAGTTTTGGAAGACGCAGTGACTGATTTTCAAGTTAACAACTTTGCACATTTCCAGGAGACCCAATTAATGTTCCATTAATGTTCAGATGGGACATTCATCACCCAAGCCAGAAGGCAAAGTATTAATGCAACCCATTCCTTAATCTATTGGAAAGGCTGGAAAGAGATCAGTATTATCTACCCCTCTGGTTAAAAATGTCAAGGCAGCTGTTATGTATAACATATATAACATTTAAATATTTTTAATTATTGAAAATTGAGTATATGTCAACACGCTATATCAACCTCCAAGCTGGTGAGTTGTGGGGAGTATGTTCTTTTTCTGGATCTTTTGATCAAGGGGAAAGAAGTTTTTTCCTTGGATAGTATGTGAAATCATCAACAGATGCATACCGACTTACTCATTTATGTTCACTTCTATTTCTCATCCGGCACCTTTTGAAATTAATTTCAGAATAGTTCAGAGGCAAACTCCATGACCAATCAATGCTGCAGGCATAGACTGAGAAAGGCAATTATTAGCTGAGAACGTGCCGGTGATAAGGGTCAGATTTTGGTTTTCTAATTAGTATAGTCTTGTGTATTTACATATGCAAAGGGTATGGTTGCATTTACAAGGTTATCACTCAGTGCCTGGGATCATACATCAGACTCAGATATAAGCTTGCCTTTGATTTAATTTAGTTGGTTAAAACCAACTAAATTCAGGAGGCAGGGATGAAATTCACCTAAATTCAGGAGGCATGGATAGCTTATTAACATTAACCAGGTATCTGTAAAAATCTGTAAGAAAGCTTCCTACAGCAAATGGAAAACCTGTGTTGACAAGAACAAAAAGGAGTCCAGACTCAGGTAGAAAAAGAGCAAGATGATAATTGGGAATGCCAAAAAAGAATGTGAGGAGTGTAGGGCCAAACAATGGAAAAGGGAATAATAAGAACTTATTTAAATATACTTAAAGCAGAAAATCCATCTTTCAAAAGTATACAGGTAGTACTCATTTAGCGGCTGCCTCATTTAGTGATCATTTGTAGTTATGACAGCAATGAAAAAGTAGCTTTGTGACTAATCCTCGCATTTATGACCTTTGCAGGTCTGTAAAACAAAGGAAAGCTGAACTAAGATCATAAGCACAGTTGCGGTTTCACTTAGCGACCAAGTTGCTGGTCCCAATTGTGGTCACTAAACAAGGACTACCTGTAGTTATAATTGTCACTAAAGGTTACTTCTTACTAATTAGCTACAAAAAAATTGGACATCTTTACTACATTCCAGTTGCCAAATACTGTCAGCCACATATAGGAGTCTGTGAATGCATGTTCAAATGCTGATTAACCTGGGGGGCTATCACAAGTACTTGTAGATATGTTATTTGCAGATACTACACTCTAGATGGGGCTAATTCCAGGTTGTAAATTCCACGCCCTCCCTGTGCTGACCCATCAATCTTTTCTTTCTAGTTCAAGGCTCATGAACTGTAGCCTGTCTGTGGAGGTTAGTTTGCAAAATTTTTTGAGGCTAAATTACAATAATGTAACTTTTATGTCACTATTAATATAGACCAATGTATGGAGTCTAGTCCAGTATTGAGCAATTAATTCCAGATGTAGAGGCTTGTAGTTGTGGCATAACTGTGTGGATAGCTTATACATGTGTACATTTTGCCTTTCTTATATTAAGTGTGCAAGAAGAATACTGTCATGGTGTCTCAGAACCAATAAACTAAAGCCAAGTCCAGACAAGATAATCGTTCTATTAATGAAGGCATCATTTGTCCAGATTAGTGGCATATAGTGACTGTTTTGGCCAGCGTTTCAATCTTCTGAACGTGTTTGCTTTAGACTATTTTGCCAGCAATTAACCAATTAATGAGTATCAGGTTAAGATAACATGTCAGACACAGTATTGGTTTAGAAGATAGTTCAACAATTGCAATTAATCCTAAATGAGCTGCAAAGTTGTTAACTGGGATAGGGGTGTCTGCACAGATTCCCAATTCATTTTCAATCTGAATTC